CAAAATCAATTTCTTCTTCATCTTCATCAACACATGAACAATCATCTTTCTATATAAAAATAAAAATAGATATATAATATGAATTTAATCCATTTAAGATAAAAAAAAAAAAAATTTATTTGCGCATACTAATTACCTACTAAAGACAAAAAAGAAAAATAATTTTTTTTATGAATTGTCTCTTAACAATACACAATACGTGAGTTGCATCCTGATGTATTATAAATAGAGTCTAGATACTAGTTACCTCCAAATGACAGGTAATATATGTATAAATGGTTATTTAATGATTTAAAAATTTTCAATTATCAATAGAGATTTGTAATTTCAGATTTTTGTGCGTTAATACAATTATATTAATTTTGACTTTGCTTTGTGATACTCTAATAACAATTTTATTAGATAATATTTAACATAAAGGTTAAGAGTTTTTGAACTAAAGAACTAAAAGAAAGCTTATAGCATTTAGATGATTAAATAATAAAATTTTCAAACTATTTGGTAGAATTGTAATTATCTATGGCATAACAAAGTTACAGCATCCAAGAGTATAATTAATACATTAAAATTTTTCATAGCAATTTTAAGATATTTTAAATTGAATGAAAATAACAAAATTTGAGTACAAATAAATACTAGCTTATAAACTAAGCAATTTTATAAATTATAAGTTTGATAATCATAGTAAACTGAATAAGAGATTATGCTTTTTTTTTTAGAGATTAATTATATTATGATTTAAGATTTTTATTAGTATTGTGTATTACTTGTATAACCAAGAACAATGTTTTTCAATGTTAGTATGAAGTTATTAATCTTAAAATAAATTCATGATGTTAAATATAATTATTAAAAAATGAATAGAAAAATAATTATCACTATTATATAAAACTGTATATTTGTTTACTTTTTTTATTTTGTTATATTCAATATTTTATTATATCATATAAAATTTATGCCTACCTAAATTTAATTTCTATAAATATAACACAATATATGATGGGTACTTACATCACAACAAGGTGATGATAATCTTGTTACCAACATTATTGGTATGATTTCTTTTTTTTGTGATCTTTTTTGTTTCCTAAGCCGTTTTCTTTTTTGTGTCTTTTTCTCTTTTTTTGAAAATTCATTGTAAAACTGATCTAACTTGGTAAATCCTTGTTTTACTTCAATAGCAGTCTACAAAATAATACATTTCATAATGAATCTATTTTACAATACCAAGGGAAAAATTTAAATAGTTATTACGTACTTCAAATCTTCTGGCAAGACCATCAATGGCTGCTGCTGCCAGAACTTGGCAAGTATATTGTTCTTCTCTAATCCTTAATTGTATTCTGTGTAATCGTTCATATACACAAATACCCAGACATGTTAAAACCTCTTCTTGAGCAATCTCGATAGTTTTAGCATGTCGTTCCCTACGACTAATGTTACTTCATAAATATTTTGACAAATATTTTATTAGTATACAACTTACTTTCCCATTAATTCAGGTTCAGCGCGGCTGATTAATGCACCAATATAATTAATATCAGTGTCCAAATGGACGTGTTTGTCCCCGACACATCTTTTAATACCTGCATAGAGTTCTTCTATATAACCTTTTTCTTTGGACGGATCTTCTTCTTCAATAAGTAATGCATATGCTTTCATCACTTTAGTACGACAGTCCCCACAAAATCTAATAAGCAACATTTAAATTAAATGTGAATACTTAAATTATATAATGTGTAAAAGTGAAAATTTGGCACATATTATTGCTAATATCAATAATGAAATTTTTACATTTATCATAAATTGTATTTTAATTATTATTTAAAAGATGTTCATTTTTATTTCTGAAAAAGACAAGTTGATGATATTAATAACTTTTTATGTATGATATTTAAAATTTATGTTAACTACATAAATTAATTTATTTGTTTTTTTTTTCAAAATTAAAAAGACAAAAAATAAGTTTTGTTAACTTTGACTCTATAAAACATATTGCCTAAAACTATAAATTATAATAAAAATTTTAAGTAATTAAAATATCTTCTAAATTATTATTTTTAAGTGGTTAAAAAATTGTATACAGATTTGTAATACTAAATTTAATAAAATGCCCTTAGAAATAATGCTATGTTGATTTTTGTTATATTATATATATACAATAATATAACAGGCTTTGGCGTGAATTTTAATTAGAGACAATTAATTGACATTTTAGAAATTCTTATATAATATAAGAAGATACTATAAAAACATATTTTAAATATGACAAATATTAATGATTTTATACTTAACTTACAAAAAAATGTTTATTATTACCTATTAACAAATAGCAAAAATATGACATTTTGAACATTTGAAATGCCTTATAGGATACTTCAACAAAAAAAGATATCTAGCTGTAAGATTTTAAGGTTTCTAGCCCAATAATAAAAAAATTATAATAACCTATGTTTTCTGAGGTAATTATCCAATGTGCTTAATAAACTACTAGCTTCTATAAGCACTATTTCATCTCTGCATGGTTCAGTCATATGTCTCCATATATCTTGCCATCCACTTGCCATTGGACGGACAAGTCTTTGGGACTCAAGGGAATGGTAGACACATCTTTTACTTTTTTTTGATTGCCTTCGACTAGATGCTATTGATGATAAACGATTCCTTTAAAAAATATTTTGACAATTAAATATCAAAAATAAATGATATTAAAATATAATTAAATTACCCATTGGTATTCTGAAGTAAATTATACATGCACCTTTCTTCGTCATAAAATTCATATCTTATAGATATAAAGTTGTTATTAACTACAACAAGAGGAAATAATGCATTTTGACCAAGTTTGGCCATTTCGCCAAATAATTTTTCAGCACTGAAAAATAATCATATTCATAATTACATATTTTATTATTTTCATTAAATGTATAGTCATATACATAGGTTAAATACCTAATAAGTAATGTCAATATATTACAAAAACAAGGTAATAGAAAAAATAAAACAATTAAAAAATTAAAACATAATATATACCTTTAAAATTGTGTAAAAATGGAATTTAGAATAAACCTTGAAATGAAAAAATGAATATTAAGATGTGGAATAATTAAGTAATTGAATACAAATAAATGATAACATTTGGTTTAAGACTAAAATCAATATTTTAATTAAAAATAAAATAGTTGAGCAACTATTATAAATTAAATAAATTAAGACTAATTATAATTGAATAAATGTGTTGAAAAAATAAACCTAAGTAAATAAATGAAATACCTATTTAAATTAATTTATTAAACTCAGATATTATTAGAAAATTTAGATTTCATAATGAGTGTAAATAAATGCTTTAAAAGTTGATGAATTTTAATTTCTTAAAACAGAAATATTGACAATATAAATAAAGTACTGTCTTTAAAAAAAAATGTCTTAAGATCAGAGTTATTTAAGATGAAAAAGGTCAACTTCATAATTTTACTAATAATGATCATTTCAGTAACTAACAATTAAGATTAATTAACAACAAAATATAAAACTTACCTTCTACGACATCCAACACAGTCAATACTTTCACTCATTATATCTAATATTTCTTTAATGGATACTTTTAATACATCTTGCAGTTCGCGTTTGTTTAACATGCGATATTTTTTTATAAAACTATCCAATGATTGAACTTTTAATGGCGGTACTTGTTTTACTTCTTGTACCAAATCTTCATTGCTAAGATCCATCACCAACTGTAAAACAAAAGACAGTCAATGTAATCATAGGCAAAAGGCATAAAGCAACAATGCAAGTATTATAAGTATCGTAAATTAATCCAGTACATTATAAAACTAAAAACCAACTAAAAATAGCATGGATAAGCACATTAATTAAAATTCCAGAAATATAAACATTGTATTAGATAAAAGACAATTAAAAATGGTAATGACTTCAAGAGGAACATCAAAGGAGTTTGAAACAAAACTGTTGAGACAGTTAGCCAGCAGGGTTTGATAATGGGAATTGGTCATTGGATGATCTCACAAGAGGGATATTAGAATTTAAAAAAAAAAAACCAATAGTGGGACCATGGGGGATGGACTCACAGTCAAGTTCTCGTCGACTTGTAGAGGCAATTGCCTATGCTTGAGCCGATGGTCCTTGCCCATTCTCATCACTTCCACCAGGTCGGGCATCCTTTCTGTTTGCAACATTTAAGCCTGCTGTGTGGTCACGATATCGTCACCGAATACCATTGACCTTATATACTTAAATATATATATATATATGCGTGAGCGTGTGCGTGTGTTAATATTATTATTATTAATAACACACACGGGCGGACGCGAGCCGAGTACGAACGGCGTAAATCCGAAAACAAAAAACGTGAAAACGATGTATGGGGCCTTTAATCGTTCTTTTTACACTCGTCCAAACGTACGAGGCTTTAATAATTTACACACGACTGACTTGTAAGAAACGGGCGAAACGCTGATGAGTAGACATCCGCCTTTAACGCGAGCGCGGTGTAGAAGTACGTGCGAGCAATGAGTGGCGGAGGCGATGACAGGAGGGAAATCGCCAATCGGGCGAAACGCACGGGGACGATCAACGTAGACTAGTATACAACGTCCTTGGAACCTGGAGCGCCAAAACTAACGAATGGCACCGCACCTCGATGAACAGTCCGATCGTCACACGGCCTCTGACAATAAAATGATGGTTTGCTCGTCTTCAAAATTTCAATGACAAAGTCATTTTCACAGTCCGATTTGTTCCTCCGCAGCCTGGACTATAGTGGACGTAACACGAAACCCATTCTCCTTGGACCGGACCGCTGCCGCCGAAACTGCGTTATCACCCGCCCAACCCGTATTTTCACGTTATCAGACATCGTGTTGTTGTTGTAGTGGTCCACTAGTCCGTGTTTTTTCGTCCTCTCCTAATAATACATTCTTGTTTTCGTTAGAAAATAACCATGTTATTATTATTATTATTATTTTAAGTCGACGTTTCTGTTGATAACGTTTTATTCGTGATAATACAGGGAGCACTTGTTAGTTGTAATACTTATAAGGCGTATTTCTCGTACTAATTATACTCTCACATTTTATCTATGCTATAACGCCTGTAACTCATTGAATCACGCGCTATAATTAATTTCAATATACTCATACTCAAATCTGTTTCAAATTCAGTCAATTACCCCTTACTTTAGAACCTACATCACACCTGAGTCATGGCCGAGTTAACCGTGGTATAATTTTTACATTTTTCTATGTGCCATTCATTATAAACAATCATCGTCTGTTGTTCACTCCAAAAGCAAAGATCTCATCTCCAAAATATCGAAACTATGGCCGTGTTTAAGCCTGGTTCGTCCACCGAACCAACGTCTGAAATCGAACTGACATTGTCCTGCAGGTGATTGTTTTGATTATTATTTTCATAATTAGTGTCTCAGTAAAAAGTGTAATAAATAGCTTAAAACAGAAACCTGTAACTGTTGCCGTGCTGATAGTATTTTGGTAATATGGTTTAATGGTTTATTCAAATATACTGTTAGAAAAATTATATTTATATGTAAGCTCGTTTATAGGATGTTTTATAAATATTCAATGTTGATAAACTAAAAAACTGTATTAAACCTATAGAAAAATATTCAGTATTTTATTTAGATAAATTGACATCAACTTTAAAATATAAAAAATATTAATATTTAGACTTTATTAATTTGTATATTACAACAATGTATTCAAAATACTTAATTTAAGTTTAGTTTTTACATGTTTTCTCTCATAATGTTTTTTAACTAATGAAAACTTTTTAGTCTTTTATATTTAATTAATTAAAATTCTGGTGTTAAGACAAGAATTCAGTTTGTTTTTGCTGTAATACTTCTCGATAAATTCTCATTGTTTTTTCAAGTTTAAATTTAAAATATTACTCATTTTCAGATATGATATAACCTAAATATAAAAATTCCCCTCATTTAATATATTGAATATTTATTACTTAAGATTATAAAAATCAATAATAGTTTATTCAATCAATATTTCCCACATACATGTATTATTCTTGTTTAATTGTTTACCAACCAATAAGTCACATTAACAGTAATCAGTACTATAGAGATTTTAATATTATTGTTCAGTGATCACAAAAAATAGCCGTTGATGAATTTATTTATTTTGTTGAACTATGAACTTATAAATAAAAAAATTATTTTCATTAAATCTATGAAATATGCATTTAAAAGTTCTTAATTTCACGACAAAATTTTTTGTATTTGAAATAAACATAATACAGATTGTATTGTATCAAACCAGAAATACAATATGCACTTTTTAAACAAATATAGAAATACCTTAAGTTCCGAGCCTTAGTTATATAATATGAGTTAAGAGCAGTTATGTTGTTGCAGTACAATTTAAACATTATTATAATTTAAAACTCAATTAAAAATGCGTATGTTATACCTTTATAACAAAATGTATAATTCAAATCCTTCATAAATATTAGTAGGCTATAAACAACTACTAATTAACATAGGTTAAGGTATGATTTATAAGAGATAAAGACAAAAAAAAAAGGTTCTTCAGTAGTAAATTTGTGATGTAATGTTTACTATAGAAAAAAACAATAATAAAATATTTTTATTTAAATTATACATATATATTTTTTTATTATTAGTTTGATGTCTTAAGTTTAAATTAGTTTGAGAACATAACAGTGATTTCATTAGTTACTTTCATTAAAAAAAAAAAAACTAATGTTCAATACAATATCTATTTCATACCAATTATTATTAAATTTTAAGTATTTAAAAATATAGTAGCTATATCTGTAATTAATATTGTAGACAGTGTTTTGCCTGTATTTTTAATTCTAGTCATACATTATTGATATCTGATAATTATTTTGTCTTGTAATTGTCATTAAAATTTAAAATATGTATTCATAATTACAATTAATAATATTTATACAATACATTTTTGGTTACAAATATTATTTAATTAATATGTACATTTTTTTATTTCATAATTTTTAAAAATTGTTCATATAAAGTACCATTTATTTACAAAAATATGAAAATTTGAATTTTTGTTTACATTAAAACTATAATAATATATACTAAGTAATAAAAAACAATCTATAATACACATATTATTTTAATAGTCAATATAAGAATGGTATGCAGTTAAAAGAAGTCATTTAGCAGTGATTTTTTTGGGCCAATATTATTTTTCTTAGTTTAATTTTTATACTCATGTAAATATATACAAATATGTTTTTTATATAAAATACAATTTATAATAATACATATCAAAAGCCCAATTAGGCATTAATAATTTAAACAGAATTAGTTTAGACTTAATATTAAGTTATGAATTTTTATTTAGTAAAAAATGTAATACCATTCTTCTAAGGTTAACAAGGAAATTAGTTAATTATTTATCAAAATAATTATAATATGGATTTGTTAACGTCTTACCCCCTTCTCCAGTTCATAAATTGGAAGTAATATCGACGGAAGTTCCTTTTCCTTGTTATATCCTGTTCCAATTTAGTTTTTGGTTCGGTTGTTTGTTTGGTAGTGGGTCTTCTTGAGGAAAGAAATCACAAATACAGTTTTGGTTGTTAAATTACTTTTATTAATTTATTTAATGAATAACCTTAAATTTTACACTGAAAGACAAACGTCTTGTTAATACTACGGCTTGTGAATGACTGACTTAAGAAAATATGCTGGCAATGGATGTCGCATACACATCGAAATTGCTTACATACTATATTCTTATTACTGACTAAGGGGTTCTTAACACCCTCGGGGTAAGATGGAAGATCATCGCCCTACATTTACACGATTTTGGGTGGTGATTTTCCATGGGATTCCGAGCATGTTTCTAATAATATGTCCTCATTTATTTTTGATGCTATTTCCATTTCTAATTGTCTTAACTTAATACAAAATATATTTTTCTTTCTTAAATATAATATAATAATAATAAAATAGAGCTTACGGTGATAACTGTTATCATTATTAAAATATATTTGATATAACTTTTTGAATGCTTATTGCTTCCTCAGGGGTTTTTGTAAATTAATTTTGAAGTAAACTTAATGATTTAGAAATTTCTGTTAATTTATTTAAATTGTTTTTTGTAATTGGGATTTGTTTAGGAGATTGAGAGTTTAGCATTTCGTTATCAATTAAATTTTCCCATTTGCTCAAGTCCATTGAAATGTTCAAACTAAGAACGTAATTTACAAGCATCTTCGAAATTATTTTCCTATTTGGTTTCAATTTAACTTTGTCATCGACTGTGTTAGTTTCACAATAATTATCTAAGCTTAACATTCCTATACCATTTACTTTTTCTATTATTGGGTTTGTCATATTTTGACAAGTGATTAAAATATTTTCATTATTTGTTACATATATCCAAGTATTCTTATTTTCTAACTTATGCCATATATTATGATTAAATTGAACATACTTGACATTACATAATTTAGGGATTGTTTTTGAATTACAAAATAACATTGCTTCACATGAGTCTTTTAAATTTTGAATAGGTTGATCGTGGTTACAAATAATTGCATTTGTTATGGTTTTACAATTTGATAATTACTGAGAACTTAGCTTTATATAATGCAAACGTGACTTATCTATTGCTACATAATCTGACGTGGGTTCTATAATTATGTAAATATTATCATGTATCTTAATAGGTAAAGGTATAGATTTATACATTACAAACTTAAAGTTATCAATTAATAGTATTTCTATTATAAATGTTAATACATCTTCTACATAAACTACATTTATTTCGCCTATCTGTAGTAATTACGACATACCTTTATTAGACAAGTCTACTGGTATACCTAGGTCTATTGGTAGTATGATTTTTATTTCTTTTAATTGTTCTGTAAACATTTTAAAATCTATTAAACTGGGATGAATTGAACCTTGCCGGGCTGAATTTACTACATTAACTAAGTTTTCTGTTTCATATGCAAACTGAGCTATAATCAAATTCACAATCGTTAATCTTTCCATAATAGCAGTCTCGAATTGCATGATACCTAATCCTAATTTTTCTGTTGCTACTTCCGTTAACAAATTATCATACCCTTTGATTATAGCATTCTGTTGTTGTTCTGTTTTGATTAATGAATTGTTCACTGTTGATATTATTGGTTTTATAAAATTTGTTTGGGTCTCTAGTATTTGAGAACTTTTGGCGTTTAAGCAAAAATATTTGAATATTGTTAGTGGAATTTACTAGTACTTAGTGATATTTTATATAAATTATCTACAAACTAATCAACAATAGAAATATTTTTAATAACAGGCTATTAAAAAATATAATTTTTATGATTCTTAAAATACCAAGGAAAAGAAAAATATTTATTGATTATGGTCCAGATTTTGATGAAAATAATGCAACCAATTTTAGGATGATCTTGAATAAAATTATATTTAAATTTTAAGCTCAAAAAATTATTTCATGATGTGTTAAAATACTCCAAGAAATACCTATATTATAACAATTTAGGAACATTAATTCTAAATTCATGCATCCACTTCAGGTCATGCCTGCAGAGCTTACAGAAAGATAATAAAAATACTCCAAAAGTACTCAATGTGTGTGTGTATATATATATAGTGTTGTTAATACAATAAAATGATTTTATTAAAATAAATCCTTACATTTATATAGTTATGAGGATGTATGTACATATTCTGTTTGTTAAATCTTCTAGAAAAATATCAATTTTTACATTAAAATGCTAAATTTTAATAGAATTATTCAAGATTTACGTATCATAAGTCTAGGAAGACATTTTTTTTTCATTATTTTATTATTCAATGTTATTTACAATCTGTTAAATTAAAACAATGAGCAAATTTGATTGTTGGAAAAAATAAAAAACATGAAAAACTTGAGAAGAGAGCAAGGAGGAGCTTCACTAACAAGGTCTCAAAGGAAGACTTTATGAATTTATTATTACAACTAGATCATACTTATAAATTAAATATGTTCTTATAATATATTTAATAAATGCTACAATACATACAATTTTATAGAGTATTTAAAACATATTAAAAATATAATTTTTATAACATGAGGTAAAGGTATTTGTTTTATTTTATTCTATGTATTCTAAATGCCACTGATTGAGCATTATATCATCAAAATATATATTTTAGTTTTATATTAAAAATAGTATATTTACTGAAGTAAACGTGTGTAGAAAATTATTGTATGTTATGTTATTTAATAAATTTGAAAACCATAGTTTGTAATCTGTGTATTGAGTTTAATTTTAGTTTTAATATATGGTAAATGATTTAAATATTTAAAATATTTGTTACAATATTTTATTTAATAGTTAAGTAAGTTTTTGCAAGAATGAATTTTTCTGTTTGTCAAAGATAGAATTACGATTAATATGACTCATTGAGAAATTTAAAGGTCTATTATAACTAAGATTAAAACACTTATCTCTAATGAGTAATACAGAAATAAAATATGCAAAACATAAATGTAATATTCTATTAATAAGTAAACTAATAAATAATGATTCATCTTAATTTTCTTTTTTTGTAGCGATTAAAAAAAAAAAACATTCTAAGTATTAGATAGGTAAATCTACATTATCTTTTTAATCTAAAACATTAAATATAATTGTTAAAATTTATAATTTAGTACTATCCATTAATTTTTTTAATTTCATTCTATAATAACTAATTTTAGATTTTTTTAAATACATTCTTATAATGATAACAAAATGGTTTTAACATTTAATTATTCAAATTTAAAATTTATTTTTAACTTGTAATTTGTTGTTTAAAATTTAAAAATATTTAATAACTTAAACTATGATAAACTTAAAATATAACAAACAATGTTTTTATATAAAAATAATTTTTCTTTTATTGATACTAAAATAATTTATATACAATTTTAGTTCTAAAAATCTGAAGTTCTCATTTTAGAACAGATATAAAAATTGTTAATAATAATTAATAATTAACTAATTATAAAAATATAACACATTAAAAACCTCTAAAAACTTTTCCAATAATAAATTATTTTAAGATTGAAATTTTATTATGTAATAATGCCGGTTATTTTTTTTTAGAAATTTATTGGACTGTGATGTGTTTTCAAAATCTGATCCAATGTGTGTTGTGTATATGAAAACACCAGAAACTACCAAATGGATGGAAATTTGTCGTACTGAATGTATTAATAATTCTCTAAATCCTAATTTTGTTACTAAAGTAATATGATAAATGTATTAATAAAAGTGTACATAATAATAAATTTGTCTTTACCTAGGTTCATGTGTTATATCGTTTTGAAGTTCAGCAGTTGATAAAATTTGAAGTATATGATATAGATTCAAACCTGCATGATCTGAAATCTCAAGATTTTTTAGGATCATGTGAAACTACTTTAGGACATGTAATATACTAAATTAATTAGTCATTAACTGGATTCTTATCTTTTCATTTTTTTAGATTGTGTCTTCAGTAACACTTACTCTACCTCTTAAAGGAGCAAAATCAAATAATAAAGGTCAAGTGATTGTAAAGGCAGAAGAACTCCCAGCATGTCATGATGAAGTTTCCTTACATTTCAATGGAAAAGATTTAGTGCGAAGTGATTGGATATCAAAGTACCTATGTGTATTGAAATATTGTTTAATTTTCAATTTAATATTTATTCTTAATTTTTTCAGATTTTTTTCTTGGTTTGCAAAAGCTTACTCATTTTTAGAATTATATAAAGTTGGTGAAGATGGACAGTATCAATTAGTGTATAGAACTGAAGTTGATAATTGGACAAACAATCCTACTTGGAAACCAATCATTTTACCTGTTCGTTCTTTGTGTGGTACTGATTTTGATAGAGATATTAAAGTATCATGTTATCATTTCAGAAACAATGGAAATCATTCGTTAATAGGTAAATTTGGGTTTTACAAGTATTTACTATTTAGTATTAAGTAAAATTAAAAGTTATTTAGCTTAAGATTTAAAATATTATGTTTAGTTTCTTAAATATATAAACAATTGTAATTACTTTTAAATATTGATAATGTCATAATAATTTATAAATTTTGCTTTTTTTTTGTATATTTTAATTCCACTTACTAATGACTGTTAATTCTTTTTGTCTGGAATAAAAACTAATGACTTTATATTTTATGCACTGCAAGCAAAATCATTGAATCATTGATATGTTTTTATTTTTTATATTTTTTATTAAATTTATAAGTTATTATATTCATTATTGGTTATTTGATGTAACCCTTATGAAAATTCTGATTAAAAAAATAATAATAGTAGTTAGATGATCTAAATACCAAATTTAGATGATGTCATAAAATCGATTAGAAATATCCAGTTCTAAAACATATGTGTTAAAATAATACTAAAATTATTATTTAAATATTTTTATCTTTCATTTAAAACAACATAATATTTAAAGTATAATATTGCAGGAGAATTCCATGTTACAATGAATCAATTAAAAAAAGGCCCGGGACCAGAAAATGATCATAAATGTGTCAAACCCAAGTCATCAGTAAGTAAAATTATGTTATTAATACATTAATAACTATAGTTTAATAAATCAATTAAATAATTTAAGATAAATATTATTATCAAAAATATAAATTATAAAATAAACCATACTATAGTAACAAATTGTTATTCAGCATGTTTGATTATAAACATTTGTTAAAAAAACTAATATATTTTATACAGTGTAATTATCCAAAACGTTGGTATCTTAAATTCAATTTTAATAATAATAAAACATTGTTTTCTAAATACTACTTTTAAGATAAAAATTATGATAATTTAATTATGTTATTAAATAAAATGGATAAATTTTGTGATAATTTTTATCAAACAAATTAGTTTAAAATTATGTAAAATAAATAAGTTTAGGATAACATACCTTTACTTTTTAAACCCTCCCCTTAATAATAAAAGCTGTTAAAAAAAAAATTTTTCACTTATCTTCAAATTTTTTGCATTATTCATCTATTGTTTTGATACTATCTATGCTTACATTTATTAATTTAAAGAAGTTAAATTAGTAGAAATATGCTACAGTAAACTAATAATGGATTCTGATGTTGACCACGTATATCAATTTTTATAATGTTTCAGAAAATTTATGGAAGCATACGTCTGAATCATTTTGAATTAAAAAAAACATTCACATTCCTTGATTACATAATGAATGGTACACAGATAAATTGTACATTTGCTATAGACTTTACAGGTAAGGTACCATACTAAACCTATTAAATTTAAATAATGAAATTAAAACAAATTTAGATCTATATATTTGTAGAAATTTATAGATTTTTAACTGATTTTAACTTAAATACTTAAACATAATTAATATTTATGTCATATTATTTATCTGTTTAATATAATCTTTATGATATTTAATTTAACAGCATCTAATGGAGATCCAAAAGATTATAATTCATTACATTACCTTAGTAATAGACCTAATCAATATGAACAAGCATTATTAGCTGTGGGAGATATTATTCAAGACTATGATAGTGATAAAGTGTTTCCAGCTTTGGGTTTTGGTGCCCGCATTCCTCCACATGGTGAAGTGTCTCATGAGTTTTTCTTGAATTTACAAGCTAGTGATCCATACTGTGCTGGAATTGAAGGTAAATATATAAAATATTAATTTAATAATAAGCCCAGTTTGTACAATATAGTTAATATATTCAATAAACATTAATATTAAACTTAGAAATATGGTTAAGTAAGAGTATAATTTAAAAACAAAACAGTATAGGTAATAAAACAGATGAAGGTGCTCATTACCCCATGTTAATATAATTTTTTTTTTTAGATATTTTTAAATCTAATTTGAATTGATGATAACTTTTTAGGTGTTATCAATGCATACCATCATTGCATTAGAAGCGTTCAGTTATTTGGTCCTACAAACTTTAGTCCTGTAATCAATCATGTTGCAAAATTTGCCCAAGCATATCAAGATGGAACACAGTATTTTATTCTGCTAATCATTACTGATGGTGTTATAACTGATATGTTCCACACTAAACAGGTATTTATGATCATAAATGCTTATTATGATATGTCTTAAGTTATAGAAATGATTAATATAAGTGCTCTAAATGTAGATTAAAGGGGTTTTGCTCATTTTTAACTAATATTATTTAGGCCATAATCAATGCATCGTCTTTGCCTATGTCAATTATCATAGTGGGGGTAGGTAATGCAGATTTTGATGCAATGGAAGAACTGGATGCTGATACGGTCCCATTAGAAGTCAATGGTGTTCGCGCAACTAGAGACATTACACAATTTGTATCATTTAAAGATTTTCAGTCATGTGATAATCCAACTTTAGCTAAGGCAAATTTAGCCCGAGAGGTACTTGCTGAAATACCAATTCAGATTGTAGGCTACATGAAGTCTAAAAATATTATTCCAAAGAATATAAAAAAATAAAGTTTTTAATATTTATTATAGATCACTAGTCTTTAAATTGTGTGCCACAATATACCATATTTATTCTATTTCAATTAATTATGCAACTATACATTTGTTTTATACTCAATTAATTAATTAAGTTTTTTTACGTTTGTGCTATTTACTTACAAAATATTATATGTTAATTGTTTATTGGTATTTTTAATAAGTGAAAATAAAAATTTTTTTGACTTAATATATATTTATTCCAAGGAAATATTTATAATTTTACTATTATATAGCATCTAATTATTTAGATATCTCTCCATTTTTTTTTTTTTTTTTTTTTTTTTTTTTTTATTGTTATTCAATTATTTTATTAATTAGTTTATTTAATGTTCTTATGCCGATTGCATAAAAAATTGATACATTTCATGATTTTTAAATAGAACATTAAATAGTTAATGATTGTTGTTTATGCAAACTGGCATTCCATTATTATATTATATAGTTTTATTTTTAACATTTTTCTTTTAATTTATTTGTTTTATTTATTTATTTTTTAACAATTGAATAATTACATTCTGTGCTACAATTAAAAATATTTCTCATATTAAAATTTTTTTATTAAATTCAATCTAAATGAATATTAAATAATTACCTTTATTGTAGAATTATTTTTATTTGATTGTTACTTATAAAAATTTCAAGTATTAATTCTTATGATTAATGGTTTTTCAAAAATTGTATAAAAAGTAGTTATGTAAAACATAAAATTGAGATGTTGAATGCATTTACTTAATATTAAAAGAATACAATTTAAAAATATTGGATAAGTATTTCATTTAAATGTATTGACTTAAATAGATTTATATTTTCTTAAAATTGTTTATTGTAAAAAGTTTGGTAAATATTATTTTATAAATTAAATTCTATCAATTTTTAGAAATAAGAATTTAAAAAAAAAATAATGTTGAATATGGTTTATTCATACAGAACTAATGTATTTTTATGATAAATCTATGAATTCGTTCAAACAATTTTCTTATTTTTAATACAAAATATATTAATAATGATACATGTAATTTCTGTTAGCTGTTTTTTGATCAATAATATCTAGATTATAATTTAAAAAAATTATAGAAGTATGTCAGAACTTTCTCTATAACTTGAATTTAAAAATTATATTTTATTATTAAAAGTAGGTTAGTATTTTAAATTTGTTTAATACAATTTGCAAGCTTAAAAAATTAGTATCTATTATACCGATTGATTCTTTTAACATCAAACACTCATTATTTTTTCCAAAATTCAAGTATTAACATTTTTTTTTAAACAATTTCATTTATTTTTTATTGTTCAGTTTTTTTCAATAACAATATAATATATATATATATTATTTGGTCTTCTAAATCAGACTATTTTTTTAAGTATTTTTTTGTATACAAATTGAATTTTGAACAAATAATAATTCATTAGTTACCAATTTCAAGTATTTAAAAATAAATTAAGTGTCCTATTACTCAAAGGTAAAATGCAAAATCTAAGTTGACTACTATTTTCAACTAAATTTTATAACTAAATATTAAAAATAAATTAGCTACTCTTTAAAAATTGTTAGAAAAATATCTCTCATAACTTGAAATAAGAACTATAACAATTAAAATAAAATTTACTATTATTTTTCAAATATGTTGTTTTGTCATGACTTTGAATTATGTCAAAAATATTTTCAAAAGTTTTAATACTGTTTTTGTACATCAAGAATCCACCCAGTATTTAGTTTTTAAAAATTAACGCTATTATCATTAATTTTGAAAAGTTTTGACAATTTTATATTAGTAAAATAATTGTATTTTATTTTAAATTATAATAATTAAATAAACATTAATGCAGTTTAATAAAAACTTTCCATAAGAGTACTTTTTATAAGCTATTGTAAAAACTATAATCATTTAATCACACATTATAAAAGTAATCAAATTGCTCATACTTATTCATTCTTGGCTTAAATATTTACTATATTAATGGGACCATCTTAAAATAATTATAATCACATATTTATTGATTGAATTACACATAAATATAAGATGTTGATCTACATTATAAATGTATTTTAGTTTTAAACATTTTCACTCTCAAAGCCAATCATGCTATTTGATTTACTTAAAAATAATTGAATCAAAGGTTGATTGAAAAATGTTTTTTTTATGATATATATTTTTGAGCACAATCAATTTACTATTGTTAATTTTAATAATTATTACCTATTTGTTGTTTGCTATACATTTTTTAGTTTATATTGTGATGTTCATTGTATCTACTTATGAATGCTAATAAAGATCATTAAAAACTATTTGTGTGTACATAGTCAATATTTATATATGATAAATAATATTATTACATAACTATATATTATAATTTATTCAAATTGATTACTTAAGGGATCAAAATTCATTTTTGATTCATTGTGAGTTCAATAAATACAGAACTATTTTCACTAAAAATATTGAATATCTTCTATAGTTAGCATTACAATTGGAAAACTAGATTGATAAATTAGATTATATTCTATAGGCCATAATCAAAGCATCCACACTGCCGCTGTCCATTATCATTGTAGGAGTGGGAAATGCTGATTTTCAATCGATGGAAGAATTGGATGGTGACACAGTTAAACTAGAAGTCAATGGAGTCTATGCGGCCAGAGATATTGTGCAATTTGTGCCGTTTAAAAATTTTCAGCAAATTGAAAATCCAATGAATGCCAAATCATACCTTGCCCAGGAAGTTTTAGCTGAAATACCAGCACAACTTGTTGGATACATGAAAAGTCGTAATATTATTCCTGAAAATTTAAATTAATAATTCTTAAAACATACTAAAAAAATGTACAAATGTACAATCTAATCATATTTTTCAATTTTTGCAATGAATAATTGATAATTTATTGTGCAATAATACTAATTTTTATGTGCTTTTGTTGAACTCTTGAGACTGCCTATACATTTATTGTAATTATCATCATTATTGTATTCTTCACACGAAAATCATTTTCTTAATTTTTTTTATTATTACATTTAAATAATTACTATTATATTTATATATCAAAACAAACAAACTTGTCAAATGACTTGAAATCATTTTTATGTTATATTCTAGTCACACTTTATTAAAACAAATTTATTATTACATAACAATATGCTCAATATCACTACAATCATATTTAATTCCTTATAAAAATATAGTTAATCGTTGGAACTAAGCATTCAAAAATATATCGTTGGTGCTTACTAAAACATTTTATGTATTTTTCTATTATAACACTCTTAATTTAATTATTTATTTATTTGTGTAATTTTTATTGCATACCATACCATACCACACATGTACATATTTTATTAATGTTTTTATCTATTTTAATTTATTATTTATATAAAAATGATATTTGTTAAGTATTATAAATATTATCATTATTAGATATTAATAAAGTGCCATTGCCATATTATTATACTATTTAACCTCGTTTTAACATAATTATTAATTTATGAGTTATAAATTAAAACAATTAAAAACAGCTAGTAAAAATAAAATAGGTACTTAAATCTAAAATGTTTATTGTTTGTTAGAGTAAATTTTATTATTACCTTGATTGATATCAATTTTTTTTTAAATTTAATTCTAATTTGAAAAAAGTAAATAAAGCCAGTAAAATGTTTATTGTTATATTTTAATTTATTCTGGGTACAGTCTTGCTTCTACAAATGTTGAAATAGATTATTCAGATTATTGTGTGCTCTTTTCAACTCTATTTAACAATAACAAATTATAAAAAAATAATTTCAAAAAAAATATCAAAGCAATACTTATTCATGAAACATAATATTTTATACATATATAGGTACATATTATCTTAACTCCTATAAGTAACTTGAAAGGATTATGATTACCTATACTAGAATATGTCATGTACTCATATGTGTTAATATAAGTATGTTTAAAAAAATATTATTCACTTTGATATAAATTTTAATCAACTAAAGACATTTATACTCATATAATTTAAAAGTACATTTTTATTAATGTACCAGTTACTTATAAAGTTGTAAGACTGTAAGAGTAAAATTTGATACAAGATAATAGATAATAATATAATTACATATTTATATCGATAAAAAAAAAAGATATATTGATTAGAAAAATAACTTTTTCAAATTGTTAAATAGTTCAGTGTAAACTGTTTTACAAATTAAAATGATTATATTTTATCCAATTTTTCACTAAGCTTGGGAATTTCTTACTTTTGTGATTTAAATGTTTCATGTTTATTTTATTTTTCTTTCTTTATACTTAATCGTATTATTACCATAATATTCCATTATGACTTAAGTAAATGCCCCTTTTAATAATTAATTATAAGTAAATTTTTAGTAATTGTTAAAAATTATAATTATGCTTTATTCATACTTAGTCTCAACTTCGGATTTGTCTTTAAATCAAAAACAAAGACAATTTTCAGTCTGCATAATAATACAATAAGTAAATTTGATAACTTAAGATAAAGTTCAATTGCTGTCACACTTACGATAAAAACAAAAAAAATTATCTACCTATAAAATAAAGAATATATTACAATTAATGTATTACAAATGCTTAATACTATATTAATACTTTTAATTGATGGATTAATTGTCTTGTAATTCTAAGAATTAATTTTTTAAATCTATTGATATTTAATACCTATAGAGATAATAACTGATTGTAGACCATATACTTTCAATTGTTAAAAATGAACTTCTTATTGGAATTAGGTCTAAGGTCTATAAAATATGATTAGAAATCATCTAAGCGATTATAAAAATGTATTTATGAATTATTATATGAATATATACTAAAATCTTATAGCTATTAAGATAATATTTTGTAAAAAGTCAAAGTACTATCTAGTATTTTTCAAAAGAAGCAAATCCATTATCTAATAAAACCTCTATTACTAGGCACTGTCATTAATTATAAATTTATAGATAGTAGTAGTCTATAGAATAATAGAATAGTCTACAGTAGAATTATTCTACTGTTTATAATTTTAAATAAATGGATATTCTTTTTACGTTTATATATACTTCTATATTATGAACAAAGTGATGAATATATAAATTTTGAAATGTTTTTTTTTTTTATGTGTACACATTTTACAAAAGAAAAACTGCTTTAAATTTCAACTTCATGGTTGTTTTTTGTAGCAAACTTGATATGGTTGGTACTTTTAGGAAATCAATGTTAAAAATTTATTAGTACTTCAATTACTTTTAAGTTTATTTGATGAAAATTAAAAAAAAAGTTAAAGAGCAGTCATAAAAATTTTTTATGAGTAATTATTGAAGTTTAAATTTTTACGATACATATTAGATATTTAAACAAATACCTAATAACAATTTATCCTCAGCCAATTATTGTTACTAGTTTACTTATTATCCAAAAAATATTAATCGTATTAACTTGAAACATTCAACAATTAATTTTTATACACTATACTTTTTAAAGAAACTTTAAAAATATTTAGACAAATGTCTAAGTATAGGCATATATATTTTTTTAATTTTTTGTGTTGTTAAAAATTCATTAGCTTGATAAATAAGCTTGAAAATTTAATACAAGATTTCATATTAATTATTTTAATCGCAATTTAAAAATATTGAAAATACACTAATACAATTTTTTTTATAATCTTGGAAGTTCAAATTTGATAAAATTTCTAGATGATGATCGAAAAATTATTAAAAGATTTCTTATAAGTAATTCTTACTGAAAATCAAAAATCTTAAAACATGCAAGCATAATATGTTTTGATAGACATTTGAAGATCAACTTTTAACAATAATATATATTTAAACTAAAAATAGTGATTTTAGTTATTTTGGTATAATTTTAAAATATTGAGTAATTGAAACTTTTACATGTATTATTATATAGGTATCTTTCTATATAAAATGACATTTTTAAAATGCTTAGATTAATTTTAAGGCATTTCTCATTTATGCCATTTACTTATTCATACCATTCTATGAAAAGTCAATATTGACAGTAATTAACAATGATGTAAGAAATTTTATACTCTTGTCAAAATTTTATTCAACCTACGTATTAATAGATTACCTAATAGTAAAATAAATTAATATAATAACAATATAAATTTATAAAAAAAATATTTTCATTAATTAAGTCTGAAAAAAATTGTCTTCATTCAAAATCTTTTTGTTTATTTATCATTGAATTCAATTTTATTACTTTAGGTACAGTCAACTAGTGATTAACAAGATACATTTAACAGTTTAATTACTAATATATAATAGAGCAATTACTTACAAGGTGAATTTTTTTTCAATAAAGTTATTTTTCAACAGTAAAATATACAAAAATTTTATAAGCCATGCATATTTAAAAAAAAATAACTTTCACTTCTTAAAAAATAAAAACATTAAAATAATTGATAATAAGCTTACAGTAAATTTGTCTATATAATATTTAACATTTTTTTTATTTTATTCATAAACACTTTATATGTGAAAACCAGTTGACCAAATTGTAAGTTGTATGAGTATTTTTAAGTACATTTATAATTATATAGGTATTTCTAAATTTCTTGGGTAACATTATACTAAGATGTTTAGTTCACAATAAAAAAGTATCTTATTTAAATTAAATGAATATAAGATAAATCAAATATATTTTTTAATGAATTACTATTATAAATAAATCATTGCTTTTCTTTTCTTGGGCGAAAACCAAAAATACTACTTCCAACTCGAACATTTGTACTTCCTAATTCAATCTAAAATATCAAAAATATATAAATAATGATATATATTTATAATTTTACTGTTATATTTTAAAGGTAAAATAACAATAATAATATTAGAACAATTTAAAAAACAATATTGTACTACTCAAATGACTAGATGAACTAACTTATAAAATGAGTGATAACTATTACCAATAAAGACACGTTGTTTTCAGTTATTAAATTTTTTTTCTAGTTGAAATAAAAAACTAACTAATTCCAATCTAACTTTCATCTATATAAATTATTCTCAATGAGCTTTTCACATAGGCCCATCAAACTAAGTCCAAACACATACAAAAACACAACTTAATTTACTTAGACCATTTCTAAAAATTTAAAATTTAACTCAAATTTAATACTCTTTTTATATAATATAATGCCATAGTTAGACCAGTCTGGTCATATGGCATAAAAATTTATACAAAACCATTTAACATATATCTTATTCAAACATTCCAGTTTATTAGTCTTAGATTTATATCTGGAGCTCCATAGCTTATTATAAACAAATCATTTTACAAGTACCTTAAAATACTCATTGTCAAAGAATTCGCAAAAATTAATTTTAAACGTTTCCACACTTAGTTAATAAATTACTCAAATCCTCTCATCCAAAATATATTTTCTTTATTTCTTCCTGGTAATATTAAATGTTGCTTAAAACAAAATTAGTCTAGAAATTTGCTTTAATACACATAATATAATTATAGATAAAAATAATAATAAATATTCCGAGGAGTTGTTGTTATTGAACTATTTTCCTCCTTAAGTAATTAATAAGAAGTAAATTATATAATCTTCTAACATACTTATCGTTTTAATATAACAGATTGTAAATATGTTTTAAAAAATAAACATTTTTTGTTCTTTTATGTTATTTAATATTATTAATTTATTGTTATTAATAAAAAAATTGTTTAAAAAACTTTTGCCCATAAATATTATTAAAATAAAAATGTTTAATATGTTATATACATTGATATTAGTGTTAAATAATATACTTACAGCATGTTCAAAATCATCAGACATGCCCATAGATAATTCCATTTTGGATGGATTTAATTGTAATTTATCGCAAACATTTCTTTTACAGTCAATCAGAGTCTAAAAATATAAAAAAACCATAAATAATGTTCAATATATTGTATAAAAATATGTAAATACCAAAAAATCTGGATTTGGTCCTTGAGAACAATCATAACCATACTGGCCTATTGTCATTAAACCAATCAGTTCTAAATAGTCACATTTCTCAATAATAAATTTATATAAATCTACTACTGAATCAGTTGTAGTGCCAAATTTTTCTGCAAAATAACATATGTATCTCAATGTATGTTTTTATTATAATATTAGATCTAGTATATTTAGTTATTATTATTAGTAGTAGTTTTTTAGTATTGAAGTTAAATTAAAATGCCATTCTATACCCATGTTTATCAGTTTGTGCTAAACTTATGTTGTTCAACTTTGCAGTTGCTTAAAATATTTATATTATTATTCAAAATTAATTATGTAGATACTTTTAAATTTATATAGTTTTAATTACCTATACAGCTTGATTGATTTTTAATTTGTAGGTATATTTATTATTAAATTTAATTAATTAGACAGTAAATTAAATAAAATAATTTAACAACTAATAATATTAAGTTTTTTATTTTTACTTACCTTTTTCATTACTAGTGTTGACTTGAACCATTATTTTTAATTTACTTTCTTTGTTAAGTTTTTTCCATCCATCATTAACAGCACTTGCTAATTTTTCACTATCAATTGTCTCAATAACATGTAAACCGGGAACCATTAATAGTTTCGGAACTTTGTTTTTTTGTATGTGACCAATAAAATGCCATTTGATGTCTGGACATTTATTTAATATCTTTATAAATAATTAATAAATCATGATAATTACTTAAAAATCAAATCAATGTCAAATAGTATACTTACTTCGACATCAGTTGATTTAGAGATCAATTCTTGAACATAGTTTTCTCCAAAATGCCTTTGACCATTCTCGTAAATACCAATTATGTGTTCTATAGGTTTTGTTTTACTAACAGCAACTAGCCTTGGTTCTCCATAGCACTATATATACAATATAATAAGTTAATTATTTTATTAAAAAAAAAAAAAACTCTTTTTATATAAATAAATTAAAAGTGAATGATTACCTCCTTTTGTTTTTGTGATACAACTTTAATTCGATGTTTAACATCATTTAAACCATCAATAACATTTTCCAAAGTACTCATTTTCTTTTTATTATAACTCAAATGCAATGAAATGAAATTTTTTAATGTTAATGTAGGCTTGCAAATCAATAAGAATGATTTTATAAACATTACATTCTTGACATCAAAAAAGAAGTATAAGACATATTATACTAGTTTTTCTTAAATAAATGTATATGTTAGTAGGTATTGATTAATACAATGGTTAAAAATTAATAATTATAATAATTTATGTAACAGATGACTATAATACAAGTACATAATTTGTAAAATAATTTTTTATCAAGTAAAAAAAAGTGTTAGAATTACCTTACTAACAGAAATAATTAAAATACTTTTATTTGAGTAATTTGATAAAAAAAACCTAACTGTTAATTCAAATATTTTTTAACATAAATTAAAAAAAAAAAAAATTGAATTGTATTGAAATTTTATTTTCCAATGACTTCAACATTAAATAATATTTATTTTTTCATTTAGAATGTAATCAACAAACTAATCATTCTGTATTTAGAGTATGTGATTATAATAATAATTACAAAATTATTGGATTTAATCAATACTTTATTTTACCATGACCTGTTATAACATAATACAGAATCAATATAGATAAGTATAACAAGTCATAAATTTTAAAATTATAGAAATTACAATAACCATAGACTCAAAAAGTCTATGACAATTAATTATTTTGGATAGAAACAATAGTACCTACATTTTTAATAAAAATTCCCAACTCAGATAAATATACAAGACAACTTAAATGATAATATAATTTATAATTTGTTACAAATAATAATTATTATTTACAAAACATAATACTTTAAATTGTAAATTGAGTAGGTACTATATACTATAAAATATTATCAAAATTATAAAATTAAATATTTGGTACGCACCACTATGAGTGGTTTCCTGTATTTGATTAAATAAAATGTGTTGTAAATAATTAAGTATTTTAATTTTAAGTACTAAAAAAAATTAAGTAAGTATAAATACGAAAATGAAAATTATACAATCTCAATTTTTCAGCGATTAAACTTTAAATCTTAAAAAAAATTGATAAGATATCATATCACTACTCTAGCTATGTAGGTGGATTCCCCGCCGCGGTAGTCAGCGAGTGATTACAAGCAGTGGTATATTGTACAGTTGCACGTTACCACAATACTATTAATATTAATAATATTTATGGTGACCAGATTTAAAAAATAAAAAATAAGTAAATATTATTTTTATAAATTAATACAATATAATAAAAAATTAAACAGCTTTTAATTATTTTGAAACAACATTAGCTATCATAGATTTTTAATTTTATTGATGATCAACAAAAAAAATATTATTATTTCTTACATAAATCACACGACTTTCATGATAAATAAAATTTAATTAATAATCAATTTTTAATGTAAAAAAAAATTAATAACAAGTATTTTGATATATTATCTTGAAGGCCAAACATTTAACTTATTCAATTTGTAATGAGAAATCAATTTAAAAAAAACATAAATATTTTAAATATTTTTGAGACCCATGAATTTCTTCAAGTAATGTTTAATCATTTTTCAACATAAGATATTTAATGACACATTTCATCAAAATTGATATGAACCTCTATTTATGATTTGAATGAAGAAATTTCTAGTAATGTTTTTTTCAGAATTCTAATATTTTTTTGATTTGTTAAAAGAATTTTTCAATTGGTGCGCTTATTTTTGGAAAGCTTAAATTTAATTCACACAACTTTTGTAAATTAGTATCCAACTATTAACTAAAATAGATTTTCTTTTCATGAAACAAAAAAATTCTAGCCAAACCTTCGGCCAATTTAATAATTAATAAATATTATTTTTATTTTAATCAAACATTTTTTTTTATTGTCAAATACAACTTTGACTGACTAATTTCATCAAATATTTGATCTTTATTTGTAATTTTACAACCTAACCACTAGTTTAAATAATCATTACAGTTAAAATCATATTTCTTAGCTTTCAATAAAAATTGACCAGAATAATCTATACTTGTATTTTAAGCCTGAAGTTTCAATAAATATACTTACTATAACTTTTTCGGGTAAAAATGATTCTTCCTTCTTACGAATTATAATTTAAAATAGTTTAAAATATTCTAAAGAAATTTCAAGGGTCATATTCAAACTGAATCAATTTTTACATCTAGTCTAATTCTTAATTATTAAATCTTATCTCTCTAACAGATATTTTTTCATTTGTTTCTGTAAAGAGCTTTTCAGTATATCTAAAATCTTGGCGGGTATTCATTAAGGTGGAATTCTATCCCCCATACTCTGAATATCTATGCTTTTGATCAACCCACATAGCTTTACTCGCTGGTCGCCGACTATGTGTATGATAAGGCTATTATATCAATAAATTCTGACCCCGTAACTGCTTTTCGAAACCTTCAAAATCACCTTTCCCTCATGGAAGACTAGTATACAAAATGAAGGCTAAAATAAATCAATTTAAATCCAATAATACCACATTTACATTTACCCTTAGACTTGCGGCGCCTAGTCCAGTTATCTTTATCTGTGGGCTATAGTACTCAAATTCCAGTCCCTCAAACAGTAAAATATCTTCAACTTACTTTAGACCGTAGACTAACCTGAGCCCAGTATATAAAATCTAAACAATTACATCTAAATTCTTGATTACGCTTTCTTAAAACATTTCTTAACGATAATAAACACAATAACATAGTAACACTTATAAATCTATAATCAAATAAGTCTAGACGTATGATATACACTATACCAACAGCTATGGGGCAATGAAAAAAAAAATCAAACCTAAATAAAATCCAAACTTTTAAAAATATAGCGCTCAGAAAACTTTTAAATGCTCCCTCTTACGTCTCAGACTACATTATCTATTCTGATCTCAAAATGAAATTAATACGTCATGAAGAAGTTAAAATTCATTTTCAATGCTTCCACAACAGCATTACCTCCAACAGTAACCCATTAATACGAAATTACGAAACTTCGCAATCCCTTCTATTCCTACTTCCTAGAAACCTACCCAGACGTTTGAAAAGAAAGCTGTATCATGACCTTCTCTTCTCCTCCAATCTTTCAAAACTAGGATAGATACTCTACTAGAATAGAGTAAAATAAAAAAAAAAAATAGTCAACAGTGTGTTGATATGATTGAGTGTCATTAATAGATGATTTCTCACATCAAAGTTCCTCCTGTATATATACCTATTTTATTTTTATTATTAATAGTGTATGTGATTATATTACCTAATAAAATTAATAAGTATGTTTTCTGCTTTAATTATATAATCTAATTGTACTTCTAAAGTATAAATTGTTTATTTCAAACAAAGAAATAAAAAAAAAAACTTTATTAGCATATATTTTGTTATCTTCAATCTTTAAAATTGCTTGATGAAATAATGGTGCATTTTGAAATTTAAAAACATTATTTTATTAATAAATTAGTAATCATTACATAATTTAAAATGAGTACATTTATATGTATTTTATAACTAATTACTAATTATTACATTTGTAAACTATTTCTTTAGAAAAGTAGAATAGGTATAAACGTATACGAAAAAAAAAAAAAAACTATCCTTATAAAATAAGTACATCTGATCACTATTATATTATTATATTCATGAATATTTTTGTATGTTTATAATTACTAAAATACCTATTGAATATTAGAATAGGTACCTACGACGGCTACATCAAAACATTTAAATTTGAAAATATTCATCTACTTCACTGTGCGGATAGCTAGATAGGTGGATATTAATATGTAACTAGAGAAATTGTTATATCTTAAGTCTTAAACAATGCAATTTAATTTGGTGAATGGAAAGAAAATTGTGTATAGCACGGACCACACGTTCTATGCAAATAACGATGGTAGTGGAATGCCGCCTTTATGTAGATAACTATAAAGGTAAGAGTCAAGAGGCTATTATATTAATTTATTATTATAATTAATTATAATTTTTATATAATTAATTAAAACGTTATTACTTGTTGTTATACGTTTTCGCCACATCGTGCAAATTGCATAATTAAAAAAAAAAAAAATGCAAGTCGGACATTATTACGTAAACTTAAAAATACGTATAGGTACTTACTTGTTACATACTTAATACTTAAATACATGCATGATATATAGCATAACTGATAGAGCCTTACCTATATATATATATGTGATAAATATTTATATTCATTATGTGTGTATACTGTATAGCGTATATTGCATGTTGTATTAAATTTCAAAATTTTGTCAATTTTATGGGCACCCTAAGGCTACTCGTTTTTCCTCTTTGAATGGTAAATGCATTATTCTGACTTACCGGGCACGCAGCGCATTTATGTATAATAATAATGCCTAATCTATCATAACAATAATAACAATAATAATAAATAATAATAGCGTACAACGTAAAAGCACAATATATAACTATATAATGTATTTATGGTTACAAAATAATAGTTATTTTTATTGTGTTGGTATTATTGAGTATATTATGCATCATGAGGACATTATATAAATATCAGGCTATTTAATAGACTCTATTATAATAGCCTAGGTGTATACTAAAATGATCGATTTAACTTTGTAAGATATTCATTATTTCAAAAATATTCATGATTTTTAAAAATATTTTTTTACATAATTTCACATTGTTTAATAACAAAGGTTATATAAAAAAAAATGCATTTTTTAACGATTTTTATCATCTTTTTTTTTTAGTTACAACATGCATTTTTTATTTTTTATTCTATACCAAAATATTGTTTGCTGTACAAATTGAATTTTGAATGAGTAGTTATGAACTTTTAGAGGATGTCAGTGCATTATTTGTGTTCTTTGTATGACCCACACGCAACATATCAAATTTGTGTTTAACAACTTTATTTAATTTATTTAACAGAACCAACCTTGTGCTATTATAGATTTAATATTTTATATACAGTGAATTGGGTTATTATTAAATTTAAATTTAAGAATATTATCTTTGTTCAGTCTGTTCTTAAATTGCTATTTTTAAGATATTTCAATTTTAAAACGAGATATTATAAGTATTTTTTAATTTACAATATTTTATCAGCTTATATAGTTTGTATTAAAATTGAAATATCGCGAAAATCATGTAAGAAGACAGTTAATATTCTTAAATTTAAGTTTGATAATAGGTCAACTTACTCGAATAGGTACTAAAGCTAAGAACACAAAATTGTTTCAGCTGAACATAAAATTTCTAATATTGCTCGTGAGTCAGAGAGATAAAACAAACAGGGCGATTAATTATTTACATTTAGTATTTAGTCATTTAGATTATCAAAGTGAGATGGAACAGGAACACTCACACCCTGCAAAATGTTTTTCCACTACTCCACTACACTACTCATCTTTTTTTTAACCATGCTATTTTTACACTAACCATTGGCGGTAGATACAATAAAATGAATGCTAGATGAATAATAAATGTACATTTGATAAAGGAACCATATAGTAACAGCATTTTGGAAGGTGTTTATATTTATCATATTTTATATTTTATTTGAAGATATAGAAAAATCTCTTAGCCATTAGTGCTTAAGTCTTTTTGCAGGATAATCAGGGAGTGACAGAAATTTAAAAAAAGTGATTGTGAGTGGTTGGGTGTGTAGTTGTGGGATTTTCGGTAGAATATGTATTGTTTATTATTTATTTATTAAGGTTACGTGAAGGTCAATATTTAGGAATAGTTTGAGACATACTAAAGAGCGTTGGTGATTTTGGTTGAAAAATTCGGATCTTTTTAGTATTTGATAATTTTGCTACAACGCCTACAACCCATAGCTGAATCGCTTGAATCCCGTAGGATCAGATTGATTTGAAGAGTAAGTATAGATATTTTTTAATTTTAGGTTGAGTTTAGATGATTTGTTTAGGATATGTGACAAAGAAGAGAGAGCAGTCTTCGACCAAGATATAGTTTACTCGTG